AAGAAGCTGCCTTGTAAGGCTACGGAACAAGGCAGATGTAATGTAATTCTCTGTGTAATTAGAGAAAGATGGAGCTCGTCGTAATGCAGTTTCAACAGGTGAGAGGGACATGCAGCGTACTGCGGAGCGACACCTTAGACGCGGATCCATTTATACACGGCAGCTGGAAATGAGCTACTTCCCTTGTTCCATCCCGTGAAGTCAAGTTACCAAAGAGAGACTCGGGGTTGAGAACGCTGTAGTGATTGTCTGTGGGCAGCTACATTGCCTTTTCTAAAGGACATGGAGGCACAACAACTAAATCAGCAAGTGCTGAGGTCAGCTCATCTTCAGAACAGCTTCAGTGACAAGCTTTGGTAGGCTACTTGTAATGCTGATAGTGCTTAGAACCCTTGTAATGCCACTTTCTGGAGAAGTTACAGTTTTTCCATATTTGTTACACTAGCCCGTGTGATCTCTTCGTGTGATGGCATTGATAATTTGATACCATTCCACCTTTTTCTAAAATTTTAATTCATTTTGTAATTTTAATACCTTAACACATTAGCTGTTAATTGTAATTAATTGTCAGCTTTCCAAAAGAAATTTGCAGAGCCTGTAGAAAGTATAGGTGAGAGAAAATATTTTTACTGTGACAATGTCCTGTTTAACTGTATACTTTTCCCTAGGGAAGCGTGTAGTTATTATTTTAGCAATTTTATTACTATCTTAAATGTTATGATGCCATAACTTCTGTCATTGTTCCCAAGTGACCTTGTGTGCCTCATCAACCTTCTGTTGCATGCATGTAGGAGTAGATGGAGATGCTTCCCTTGATCTCTTTTTCTAGAGATTCCAGCCCCATCTTTTGTGAAGATGGTATAAAATATACAGTGATGCATTATGTTGGCCAAACAGCTTCCATCCTGAGATGATTTTTTTTTTCTAAAGTGCCACAATTAACTGGAAAACACCTTGAGTAGGCAATGCCTTGTAAAGGCTTGGTGGTCAGTTTTTTTCAGAAGAAGTTGTATTTCAGTTTTATACCTCTCAAACTCTTTTTCTTTCTTCTTTCTGGATTCATGAGACCATTCTGTAATTGATGTCCACTCTCTGAGAGGGATGTTGTTCCTCATGTGTCAGAGTGGGGAGAGGCAGCGGGGATGGAAGTAAACACTTGTGAGCAGGCAGAGTAAAACCTTTCTGTGCACAGGAAATTTTGGCCTCGTGTTGGTTCCATCAGTCTTCTTTTTTCTTCCCTGTATACAAAGTGTGTGTGTTTCGTACAGTATGTTTGTATGCAAACATTTTACACAGAGCTTTTATGAATGGTGTGACTCATAGCTAGCAAAGCTGTGAAGAGGTGATGGTTAACGCCGTGATACATAAGCACAGATGTAGTCGAGCGCCAGCTGTACAAGGCATCTGTTATTTTTCTTCCATCCCTGCAGTGCAACAGGCAAATAGAAGACGATACAAGAGCCTGGCTATATGTCTGTATTTATTAATGCCAACATTTTGAAGTCGGTGGGATATTTATGTCCATTACCTTTAAAGAAGTTGTTGATATTTCTGTATTAAGCGACTATTTTAACAATCAGGATATGTAACAAAAATTTGTCGATAATCAGTGGGAGTAATTTGCAAGAATTTTATTTGTGACAGAGTTAATGTTATTACCGGAGTGTGAAACCCAGTGTTTTCACATTTCTGTCCTAGGATCTCCCCTTTACATAACCATCACTGGTACACTGAAGTGTGGTTGGAGCCCTCCTCATTGATGAGACTTTCGTGAACCTTCAGTTTATCAGAAGAAAAGCTGCTTAGCTACAAGTCTCCTTGTCTTGTTATCTCCCGAATGCTGGTGGATTGCTAGCAGAGCCGGGATGGGCCATCAGCTAGTGTATTGTTACTGACAGGGTCGATACAATCCTCTGATGAAATGAATGTTCATTACTCTAATCTGGAAACGGAGCAAGGTGCAGTCATTTTAGTTTTGTACGATTCTAAGTTTTTGAGAGTTTCCCGTTGTCAAGAGATGCTTTTGCAAGTTTCTGGGGCTCCGTCTTGCAATCTGCGGTGGTTTTAGTGGTATTCTGTGGTAGTTTGGATACCTCTGGTTTTGTAGCTTAAATATTGATTATACTAAATGCTATTTCTCGTCCTCATAGGTCAATTTTAATATTTAACATTTGATTGTGTGTTTGATAATTTGGTGAAGAAAATTGAGAACAAAGCATTATACCCAAGTAAATTTTTCTAGAGACTCTGCAAAGGGCTCCAGGATGTTGATCAATAATGATAATAATGTCTTACTGAGCACAGTAATTTTTTGTATATTTAAATGGGGCATCTTGCTTGAGCAAATCTTACTGCTACGTCGTAACATAACAGAATAATGAAATAATGTACGTGGTATAAATGTTATGGAAGAAGGGAAGCACATTCATCCTCTGCTTTTGGTCTGGGCGGGTTTGGGGTCAAATTCTTAAGCAATGAGTTAAAAGGAGTTGAGATGTCCAGCTTTTAAAAGCTATATCCAGGACTTGGTGTAGATTTTTAACTTGAAGAATGTAAAGGGAACACTGTAATCGAGTCTGACTTGCTCTGCAACATGGACCATAGAAATCCCTGAATTCCCTGTTTCAAGAAGATTGGGAATTAGGAGTAGTTCGGTGGAGGCCATACATTGTCAGAAAGAGCTGCGTTGTGCTGCAGGTCTGGTGGCAAGCCAGTTTGAGGTTTTTTAGCCCTATTACACGTCTTCTATTGCTCAATTCATGCCCTTCTACTTCCTTTCTTGCTTCCCCACTTGTTAGTTCTTTCACTGAGCCCTTTTGGTGAACTAACCTGGGGGAGAATTCCCTCTAGAGGAGAAAGAAAGAACAAAGTGTTGTTGTTCTGTTGATTTAATATGCTAAAATGGGTCAATGTAGAATCCATCGTATATCAGAGGCTGGGAAAGGAAAGTGCGCAGAACCACTGAGCCTGAGCTTTTGACATGACTGAAATTGAGGAGGGAAGTATAGCTCTTATTACGGCTTGTGAGTAGTGTAGGCTAATCAAGGTGCTCTTACTTAGGTGCTGTGACAGAGAAATGAATCCTTAGATCTGTGTCTGTAATCCTCATTTTCCTGTTCTAGAAGAATTGATCTTGCTGTTAGCTGAGGAGATGTAAAGGAGGGTAAAGAAAGACCATTCAAAAGGCTCATATTCTTTGTTTTTATTTCAGAAAATGAAAATAAAATGCATATTATTTTCCTATCATAGATTGCAGTGTACCGTAGAGTGAAAAGAAAGTTAACATTTAGAAAGACGTTTGAATTGAGCTGGGTAGAATTTCAGAGTACTTCTGACCTAGTCCATACTATTGTTCACTAGCACTTGAACTCCAGTGACTGGTTTTTAGTTAGTGTGGTTTAAAAAAGCATTGGTAGAATGGTCTTACCATGAGCAGCCAAAAGAAAGGTATGATGTAATAATAATAATTATTAAGGGAAAGGATTATTGCCAATAGCTTTGTTGGTGTAATACGTATTAGAAGGTACATGCTCTTGAGTTGTAGTCGTGTAGTTACCTATAAGTCAAGTCAAAATGGAACTGTTCGACATGGGCTTATATGGAAATAGTAATTGGTATCAATGATGCTAATGTAATTTTAGCTACATCAACTTCTGTGATTTTTGTCTTGAAATCAGAATCTGTGTACCATTTTATCAAAATAATAATTTGTTGTAGATAATAAGTGTACTTAAACCAAAAAAGTTTGTACGTAGACCTTTCTGTGGTTTTCTGCGTTTTCTAGCAGCAATGAGCTTCTAATGTAAAGTAACTAGACTTGAGTCTCACTGTTTTAAAAGTGTTTTTGAAGGGCCTTTGAAGTGCTTAAAAGTAAAAAATAGCACCCTCTAGTTATTAGCCTAGGTATGTGCCTAGAAAAATGTGTATTTTGGGAAGAATTTCAGTAGGCAAAATGTCAAAACTTATTTTTTCTATCATTCCTTTGACAGTTGTCTTTCTGTGCATATACTGTATATTGTTTCTCTCCTGCATACTTATTGTATGTACAGGTTTATTATCTTGAGGCATTTGAGGTAGACAGTTGGCATTTGTACTCCAGTTCTCCAGAATATTCTTGAGCGGCTTGAGCAGATCCAAAAGACAAGCAAGTGTTGTGTCAGGAATTGTGTTAAAGTCTGTAAAATAAAACAGATATGGGCAAGGGGAAACACCCTCCTTTACCAATACTTAGTGTATGTTTGTACAGCTGGCAATTTGTGCTGCTTCATATTCGTTGACCTAGAAGTAGCCAACATTTTAATGCATTCTTGAAGGGGAAAAAAGGTGTTATGGAGAAGAACTGCCACATCAAAGCCTCTCCTCAGCTTGTAAAATGGTTTCCACCACTACCTTCCTCAACCCTATCGGAACACTCAGCACTTTCTCCCTCTCAGAAGAAAGCAAGCCTTTTTATTAAGAAATGGCCTTAGAGTTTTATTTGTATGAAAATGATAAAAGTGATACAGAGCAGTTGAAAAGATCTCTCTAGTTCAAACAAAAGACCATCAGAGATATAATGTAAGTTCTGTGTCTCTATCAAATCAAGTCAAAGGATTCAGCTGTTGCACAGAGTGAAGTAAGTGCTCCCTTTAGGGAAGTGTTAGTGTGTGGAAGATTTTGGAATAACTAGAACGTAGTCTAAAATTTCACACTTATCAAGTGACTTGTATTTTGCTGGTCAGATCTGATGTTCCAAAGTCTTATTTGTGACAAAGGAAATTTAAGTGCTTGATAATTAGTTGCACAATACAGGTTCTTGACCGTTGTGGATGTCAGAACTCAATTTTAATCACACCTTCCTTTAAAGCTGAAGGCATATATTGACCCTTTGTTCACCAGCGTTCTGCTCACATTTCTGTATTTTTCATTTAGCATGCTAAATAATATAGAGAGGCTGAAATAATTTAAAAATAATTTTACAAAAAATCCTTTCCATTAAAATCTACTTTTCTTCATTTTAGCACAAGCCCACCTTACTGCTGTGTGGACCTGTATTCTCTGCGAACAGGAGAGATGGTCAAGTCCATACAGTTCAAAACTCCTATTTATGATCTGCACTGCAATAAAAGGTAAGGATGTTTACTATGCATTCTGTCTGTGTTAGGGCATGTAAAATTTTGTTAACAAAGGCAATTTCTGGTGTATGTGCTCCATGTTTTTATTATTTTGACTTTGCTGTAAGCATAGGTTTGGTTCTCCATTTCTTGACTAATATTTCGGTTTGAGTAGGACAATATGCTTCTCCAGTGGCTTTCGTTTAAGAAGCTCAAAACATTTTGCATCTGAAATCGTTTAAGCTTCTTTCAGTTGTGATGAGGGTGAGCAGGAATCGCTGGAATCCTCTATCATCTACCTACAGATGGAGAAATGGGATCATCGAGAGTTTAAACAGTACAGAGCACTAAAGAGTTTGTCTTCCATTGTTCCGTCAGATATATTGCCTTCCTGTACATCCAAAAGATTCCTAGCGTGCACTCTGGTTTATGGGAAATAATGGTCCTGTGAGTCAAATAACAAAGCAACAACTCTTAGTTGGGATAATGTCACCTGGTTTCTGAGAGAAAATGGCTTAGAAGGCTGAGCATCAGGTTGAAAATACCTTCTTTCCATAGAGTCGTCAGTTCAAATTTTTCTGAATTAACTTCAGATCTTCATCTCTCCAAGACACACAAAACTGAACACCTGTGTAGTTTATTGCAGCTTTTTAAGATGGAAGAGAAAACCCAGGGTCCCTACACTCCTGATGTGAGAATTGGGCGCAGTGATGTTCCATGATTGTGCTGCATACTTCTTCCACCCAGCCGTCCCTGTTCTTAGTCATTGTATGTCTTGAGGTACCTTGTGGAACTTGTGGATATGATTCCTGAATGAAGAAGTTGCTGCATTTCTTTGGCAATTTGCTGGCTGGAATTGTTTATCCTTCAGTAAGGAAGGTGCCATAATAACTGAAATCATTAAGAACGAAACAAAACATCAGAATGATACATTTTATGTCCTTGTTTGTACACCAGCCAGCATGCTTGCAGATGTGAAGACCAAAAAAGAATACGAACGTGTACTGAACTCATGCAACTAAGGGAAGTTAGCAGCATTGGAGACTGGAGGGTAAAAAACATATACAAAACCAACCCTAGAAGCCACAAAGGTTTTGTTAAACAGACATTTGTCTATCGTAGTACCATCAAAATCTTTCCATTAATGACAACATTAGGTCAAGGGTAAGCTACAGAAGAAAAGTAGTACTACTGAACACACACTACCACAACTAGTCTAATAACAAGGAGGATAATTTGATAGTTTAAATCTTTAAAGAATTAAAGGATGGTAGCGTTTTGTTTTGTGTTGGGTTTTTTTTGTTTTTTTGTTTTTTTTAAATCAATCCTTGTCAATCTTCTTATTGTAGGATGTGGGTATCGTTGTTACATCAAAAAAGAGTTTCACTGAAGTGGTTGAGCTGGTGAGAGTTATGTGCCATGAATAGGTCACTGTTCCTTTAAAAGCTGTCAGAAGGAGTTCAGTACTTATCTGTGCAACTGTCCCGTGAAAAATTTAAAGTTCCCTTGTGTACAGTGTGATGATAGTAAATCTTTCCAGCTGGCCTCCTAGCAGAAGAAAAATCCAATTGTAAAAACAGTCAAAAGGCAAATCATCATTCAAAGTCTCTCCCAGCTAAAAAGTCTTTCCAGGTGCTAATGTTTCTTTTCCTAAGTGATAAAAATGGAAAAGCTACTTCAAAGCTGTGTGGCTGTATCCAGGGTAGCTGCTTTTCTGGAACATGTCAGATTCTGTTATTATCCAAGGAAAGCTCACTATTTCAGATTGAAAATACTTTAAATGTGGCCAAGTGCAGCGCTAATGGTGCGTTAACTGTACTATAGACTAATGGAGTCCAAAATTTGAATTTAAAATAAAAGTGCAGAAGAAAGGAGAACTGTTTATTGTTTATGTGTTTATACTCTAGAATCATCCATCTGGTAGGTTTCATTTATGTAGAAAGATAGTATATCTTCAAAGAGTAGAAAACAAAAATCTATCACAATCAAATATACATAGGTTTTCTATATATACATTATACTTACATATGCATTCGAAGTGGTTCTATTATTCATTGGTTAACTTTCTTTTAGGCCTGTGGAAGAAGTTAGAATTGATAAATTTTCTTTCATTTTTCTCTCCTGCAGTTTAAGCAATGGGAAGATGAGTATTCTAACTAAAACTACTAGTTTGTCCAAGGCTAATATTAAATCATATATGCAGAGTTTATAACTGATAAAAAGTTGGCATTTATAAATTGGAAGGGGGTGGGCAAGCATCTTTTTCACAGAGAGCTACAAGCAAATAAGAAATGCTACGTTAATTTCTTGTATGACTTAACACATGTGAATCCCCCGTGTTGAGTTAAAAGTTCTGCCCTCTTCTTTTGGTGAGTGAGCTGCTCTCGCTGAAAGTGTACGTGTGCTTCCTGTTCTAGGTCTGCAGATCTGTGAATATGGCTTCTGTCCAAAAATGTCCCTTGTTTTCTACTTCCTTCCAAGAATTTATGCTGCTTCTGGTTTCTAGATAGAGGTGTACTGATGAACAGAGCAGTGACAAAGTCCTGGGACGGGATGTTATAAACCAGAGTCCTGAAAGAATTCAAGATACATAATTAATACTTTAATCAGCTTTTATATCAGACAATTAGAAAGCAGCCCATTGAAAAGGCTTCAGGAGTTACCTTGATAACTACAGATGCCATCTAAGTTATTTGGCAAATATGTTGGTAAAAATAATAGCAAGTCAAAATCAAATGGCAAGCACACAGATAAATCATGCTGATAAGGAGCGTTGTTAGTACAGTTTGGTAGGTGGAAATTGTGACTTAAAACTTAATTATACGTCTGAAAACGTCAGTAAGCATGTGGGTAAGGTATATATTATGATTTTAGTGTAGCTCTTCAAAGAGTCTTCCAGGTATTGAGCTTTCATGGGATAAGAAGGGAATGTTCTTGTGGCTAAACAGTGAAAAATAGGAAAAAAAAGTTAGTGACTGGTTTTCACACTGATGGGAGATAAGCATCACCCTTTACCCAAGGGTATGTGTCGAGACTCATTGTTATCTTAAACATTCTATACAGTAGTATGCAACCATAATTTTCAGGTAAAGCATTAGGTGTGTATTTTAGTCATTGAGAATTGCAATTAATTTTTTAACACATTGTATCTTTAAAATTAGAACTATCAGAACAGTACTTAATAACGCTCCAGATTGTCAGCTAATTAAAAAAGTCTCATATTCTTCCTAATGAGAGAACAATCAGATTCTTAATTAATTGTGTCATATTACTAAATCCTCCAGATAGCTGGTAGATTTTTTTTCTGTTTATTCATTGGCTTTGCAGGTGGTTCTTCCATTTCAAGAGCTTAAGAACTTAGTTTTGGGAAGTAATCAATGTAGGAGAAGACGTATCCTGGTTATAAGTCTTTCAAGACTCTTCAGTTTCCCAATTTGACCTCTATTAATTTAGACGGGATGGTGTTTCATGCATAGTTATCGTGTGGCTTTTGTTCTGTTACTGTATTTTGAGTAATGAGCAGGTATTTTACAATGAAATTGTGTAAGTGTACAAGTGAATGCATAAACATACACCTGTGATTTTTCTAATTGACACAAATCCTGCTTCTCTCAACTGTATTTGTGTGTTGATGTTCTTGGTATGAAAAAAAAAAACCCTGCTTTTAGTAAATAAGACAGTTTAATAAATTTGCAATGAGATGGGCAATGGGATTATTTCAAATTTAGCTTGTGTTCTACTGGTTGTTGATTTGATTGTTATTTGAGTCATTGAAAGTAATTCAGGATCCTTGCAATTCCATTCTTTCTTTTTAATGGAGCTTTTACTGCAGGAGGTATATCATAAATATGCTGTGTTGTTCTGTATCAGATCTGTGTACTTCCTGAAGTGAAGGTTATGTGGTTGGGACGAGAGAGAATCCTCAATAACTGCCACGTATTGGTAACCTGGCAGTTTATCACTGTACAATTTATATTGATGCTTTTGAAATAATTACATTTAGATATTGAATCTTTAAACCAAAGGATTTAATGTTTAAAGTACATGTTCCATTTCTGTCTTTTCAGGATACTTGTTGTAGTGCTGCAAGAGAAAATTGCTGCCTTTGACAGCTGTACTTTCACCAAAAAATTCTTCGTCACAAGTATGTATAATAATTGAGTTCAGTCTTTTTTGCTCTAGTGGTGGGGTGACATAAAGCAGATCTCCATGACTTCATTTGGAGTTTCAGGAAATTTGTTGCTTCAAAAAAAGAAAAATTCCAAGTGTTACTCTGAATCTTCAGCTCTTGTGTGTGTTTATTGTTGTCGTCACCAATTTCTCACTGTTGTGAAGAGCACCTACACTGACATCCAAAGGTAGACGAAAAATTCTTTTGTTCATTTCGCACAAATTCATGCAGAAATTTCAGGCTGTACACATGAGCAGCAGTTTGAAAACACATCAACAGCGATCTGCCCGCTTTTCCTTTTTTATTGTTCCTTAGGCCGAGGTACATTGGTTTGTTTTGGTTTGGTTTTTTTACTGTGTCCTTACTTTAGCAGGCCCCAAAGCTGAAGCAGGTCAGTGAAGTGTTGTAGCAGAAAAACTGTAGGCAGGTATTTGCCTGCAGGTGCTTTCCCATATATCTTGAGCGTGTATTTGCTGGCCTCCCCTTTATCCCTCTGTACCCTACGGCTTGCCTCTCAATAGGAGGCAATTGATTCTAACAGATAAGGTGCTCTCCAAAAGCTGTTCCTCTACTGTAAATGTCCCCTTTCTGCCTCAGCATCTGTAACTGATATGTCAGTAGAGACAAATGGTATGTTTTCTGCTGCTCGTGCTCTGCTCTGCCACAGGATGTGGTTAGGATTTGGCCGTCACTTACCTGCTCCCAAGACTCTGTGTTGTAATGCTAAACACCAGGAAAGTGTTCACTCCAGGAAAAAAATTAAATTTTTACTTTTCCAAGCAGTTAGTGACTAGTGTTGTTGTTTATCAGTTAGAATTGCCTCTTGAAATCTGTAGATTACTGCGGGATCATAGCTTACTTTGGAAGGGTCAGAGTTTTGTTGTTAAAAAGGAGAGCCTCAAATTTTCAGTATTTATTTTCAGTCACAATTAGAAAATTTCTAAATTGTCTTTTGATATTCTAGGTGTATTTAAAAAAAAATCTAGGTAGGAGAAGCTGTTTCTTTTACTAGTTTGAAGAAAAGCAGCATTACGCAGTAATATTGAAGTTGCCAATAGGTGTCAGTTTCTTCCTATACATGGATGCAAGATACTGGGAATCTGCTGGGGTTCAGTAAGAGAGCCAAACAGGGAAAGACTTGTTTGTGTCCTTCTCTTCCTCGCTCCTCCTTTTTATTCCACCGAAGGGAATCAGGGCAGAAGCCTTGCTTTGTTTTAGGTGAAAAATAAAGAAACCTTAATTGCTTGCATGATTTGACAATTCTTGTGCTTTTCTAATTCCAGTTATTGCTTGTCGATTTTCTTTAAAAAAGTGACTGCATTTTTTTTTTAAATTAATCCACTGAACTGTATTTTGAGGAACGGGGATATCCTATTCCTAACCATAGCTTTCGATTTGCAGTGCATTTTAGTGGAAAAGTGATGGGATTTAAAAGGGTAAAAGAAAGCTCTCTATTTACCAAATTATTTGAAAATCCAAACTCTTGAAATGTCACTATTGACAGTATATTTCTCCAGCTGTGCTGTCTTTTTCAGACAAGAAACTCAAGATGTTCTCAAACTTTGTTCCAGTTCTGGGGTTCCAAAGCTCGGCTGAAGCCACCCCTCATTTTGTACTGGGCATTTTGGAAAGCCGTGGGACCCAGCAAACAGCTGGAGCTGTTGTCACCACAGCTCGTCCCCTGTTTCCACCCCAGCTTGCCTGTGGCCAGTGACAGGGTGTGACAGGGGAAAAGGATGTGTGCTTTTTTCCTGGATGAATGCGTTTCTTGGACCCATGCTGGTGGATAGTTGTCCTGAGGATTTTGAAGCTTAGTTGTTTCACGTAATAGCTTACGCTACCGAGCGGGTGTTATGCTCTGGCATGTTGAAGGCTGCAGTAAAGCTTTTGTCTAAGCTTTCAGGTTTTGTATGTGCTGAAATCTCTTTGACCTAAGAGAGTATCTTTAAAGGCTTAAGTTACTCAGTATTTGAAATTTGATGTGAATGAGCTACCTAGCTAGCTGCACGGATTTTTGATAGTCAGCCAACTGGCCAACAACTGGGCTCTTTTGCTGCTTGCTCTCCTTTTTTTAAGTATCCGTTTAAATTGGGAAAGTAGAAATCCCTGAAAAGGAAGCTCGGCGAAAGTCTGTGTTATAGGCCTCTTTGTTTCCATGAGTGGAGCATCCCTGCTCTGCAGGATGGTCAGCTGGCATCTGGGCTGGACCCATCCTCGGCTGGACAGTGGCAATAAGAATGCTGTTGACTCTCCAGGGAATTTTTCATCTTGACGATTCTCAGCTGTGTTATCTGACTGCTTTTGGTCAGGACTGATGGTGTAAAAGGTCCAAAATATTAAATTAGGATTGCTAGCTCTTTGAAGACATTTCTGTGACTGTGTAAACCACTGTGTAGAAAAATAAAATCTTATTTTCAAGGAGATTTGGTGGTGGTGTGGAAATCATATGTTCCATCCATATCAACCATGTGGCATGGGAGCCTTAGAACCTCGTTGAGGCAGCTAAGAGGCAAACATAATTAAGCAGGAGCTCTTGTCCATTTTGTAGACTACTTACACATAGAAATTAAATGCAGAATGTACAATTAAAAAAAGTGTCAGGAATTCTAAAGTTCGGTGTTCCTCAGCAATGCTAATGCATCTGTGTTGCACATGAGTAGTATTTGTCTTTCTGTTTTTGTTTTTGTGGTTGAATGTGTAGCTTAATATATTGTTGTAATAAATATACCATAAAATATTCAGGATGTAGAACATGGTCAAGTTTGTGCTGCTGTTGGAATGCTTAACTCATGCATTTCCTGATTTTTCTTGAGCAAATTTGACATAATACTAGTATTTTTTTTTTTTCTGCATGTGATTAGATGGAAATGTGCTGATTTGACTCAAATGGCAGAGAGCCAGCGCATGTTATTTGTGCCTTTTGTAACAAAAGCTCAAGGTACAGGTGCTCTGGTCTTGGTGTGTGAATTTGACAGGTCCTTCGACTTGAAGGGAAAACATACTGTGGATATTGTAGAAAAAATACCAGACTGTCCTATAATCTACCCTGTGTGGTATTCTTATTTTTAAATGTCTGCTAAGGAAAGGCATAGCACCAGTCTGCAGCGAACTCATGGCCGTAACTTTCATCTGGCACTCCGTTCTCCACTGTGCGTGTGCTCGGAGCCAACTCCGTTCCGTTAAGAAAGGACTGGCATCGAGGGGAAGATAAAACAGTAATTTCACATCCTGCACTGTTTTAAGTGCTCACATGGCCAAGCTAAAAAAATGCATTTGCTTATAATAAGAACGTGTTGCCGTTGGTAGTTGTGGATGTCGAGGTGTGGATTTTAGACAGATTTTTAAATAGTTGAGAATTTTATTTTGGCTCGCTTAAGATTTCCTTCAGAGCCTTTTTCTGAATACTGCATATGACTGAACAATCAGAAATGGAAGTGATGTACAGCTTTTTTTCCTCCTGCTTTCCTCTAAACAATAGATGCAGAAAAGCTGAATTTCATTGATTTCTGTTACATCAGTTCTCTCTCAACCCTTCTCCAAAAATGCTTACTTAGTGGAACATTGATGATTATGAATATGGCCTGATGGATACTTTCTTCTCTGTAAAGAATATCCTTCCCACCCCCTGGGCCCTAAGTAAAGATTATCACAGATAACATCATGTGGCATCATCTTTGTGTCCGATAACTAGTGCCTGCTCAGTTTCTCTGGCCCTTCCACTCCTCATATTGATATATTCTCCATCCATTATTCTCTAGGGATGAAGACAGTTATTGCAGCCATTAGCTGGCACCACATTTCTATTGATGCCGTGCAGCTAGAGCCTTAAGAGGTAATTTTGCAGATTTTAGTCAGAGTACTTTATTGTATATAAAGTCTCAAAAGACTTGCCTAACCACAAGCCAAAAATTATTCAGTATATGTTAAATGCACCCTACCTGCACCTCTCAAAAACTGCCCAAACCAAACGCTGTTTGATACTGTCATTCGCAGTTTGGGTGGGGTATTGCCGTTTTCACTGGTACTCACACGCAAGAAATAATACGGTGGTTTCAGTTTGTCACAGGTCTGGTCTGGAAATCGTCTCAGCTTTTTTTGTACTTTTTTGTTGGCTGTGTTAGAATTCCTTTCCCCTGATCAGCACACAGGGAGCAGTTTGATCTCTTAGCTTTGAAGTAAAAAACACTGGATGTCTTCTGAAAAGGTTTAATGCCTGAAGAGTCACAAACAGAACTTCTGGAAGAATGTACATTTTCCTTCTCAGCGGTGAGCAGTGAGGGACATTTATCCTGGATATCCCATTCAGTGTAATAATTGATAGGATTCCTCGGGCTGTGGAGGGGCACCCTTCAGTTTAGATCAAAAGTCCTTAAGGCAGGTGGGAGGTGAGCTCCTCATTCTCAATATTTTCTTGATCGAAGTAGCGAAGTGAAGTATGTTCCTGTGAATTGTATATAAGCAGTTTTTATTTTTCTACACGCATGCGCACACACACATATATATGAACACACGCTCCATATAATTTGTAACTGCCTTCCCCGCGAAACGTTGGCTTGATCTTGCTTTTACTCTTTTAACATTGTTGTTTAGTTTTTTCCTGAGTGTGGGAATCAGCGTATCACTACTACAGGATAATGCTGAAACACTTTTTGAAGAGGTCTTTAGTGCAACACGATAGATTTATGGAATTGAATGTCTTTGTTGCTTGCAGGGTGTTTTGCTGTATTGCAGGAAAGTGTAAATACAACATAAAAATTGCATAAAGGCAGAAATGAGGCATTGGCACCCAAGATAGATATCTATCATATCTCCTGGCTTTGACAGTTTTAAAAATTATATGTTGAGCAGGAAGTGCTGTTTGTTTCTGTGAGAGTTATTTTTATCTAAACCAACCAAAACCTTAATGTTAAAGGGCAAAACAAAGCTCTCTTACTCACGGTGTCCTGAGCAGGAACAACCACCTCTAGGAACAT